ACTATAGCCATCTTCACTTATTACGTAGATAGTGCTACGAAAGTTATTTTTGACCGACTTCCTAAAAGAAGGGGGTACTCAATTGTTCTGTATATTTTTTTATATGTTTAACATGTCTCCGGCTCTGGTGGACTGATTTTGATGATTATTTTTTTACCCGAAAGGTAGTCCTTGCAGATGTCCCATTATTTTTTTTTTAAGTCTGAGTCAAAGACTACGGCATAGTTGTTTATATGCGTTTCTTTTTACACAATAACGAATAGTTTTTTTTATAACTGTTATCTTTATAATAGATTTAGGTTTTATTGTATCGCATTTTAAGTGATTATCGCAGCAATATTCTAAGATAAATATGAACTATCAGTTATGTCGTAATATGAAACTCTATAGATAGTAATTATCGTTTATGACTTTTATTTCTTTTGGTAATTCGATAGTGTTTCGAAATACTCTGAATAGGTAATTTTTCCAGGAACGTACAGCAAATTTTTAAGTTTCTACTATCATAACAAATGTACTGAAATATATTGCTATCCCTCTAATTATTACTGACGATAAAAGTGATAGCAATGTTTATACTTACAAAATGTTACTTACATAAAGCATTTTTCTTAATTTGTGATGTTTAGTAAAAATATACGATTTTCCCCTCGTTTCACATATTCAAGAAGTATTCTTTCTCCGCGCCCACACTGCTCGCTTCTTTTAGATTATCAAGGTCTTCTAGAGAATTACATGCATTAATTTCATTCTTCATTTCACACAAACTCTCCACAAGACATTAGCCTTTTGTTAAAAATAATTTATACAAGCTTTCGGCCGAAAAGTTCGAATATTCAGTTAAAAATGTCAGAACTAAACGGAGCAGGGTTAAGGGCCTGTCTCACCAAATTGTAAGTTGTCTGATAAACAAACGTGTTACCTTATCTGACAATGACGTCATTTATAATCAATCTGGGCCTCTATCAGCCAGTGGTAGGACAGGCCCTTAATCTCGCATCATTAATTCATTTCACTCGTCACGTATAACAGTGCAACACGAATGAGGTCAGATGTATTCGTTAATTATGCAAATAATTGGTATTGTATTCAAAACATTGGTACGACCTTAGCTGCAGCCCTGCACTCCAGCGGGATCATCCAGCACTAAAATAGTATCGCGTGGGATGCATTGTGATCGACGCGCCCGCCATTGTGAGGAATATCAGCTTTTGTCCGATTTTGTAATAGACTATACGTGCTGACGATAGTATTTGCTCTCTCTCTAGAGAGATAGCCTGCGTTTGGTATTCGTACGATTTTTATAATATAACCAGCTGTTTCATTCGGCTTCATCCGCATGAAATTATAAAAAAGTTTATTTTATTGTTTACATTTGTGAAGTTCACAATTGTAAATTCCAAAATTACCGTAACAATAAAAACCTTGCTTCCTTAATGTTGACAGCTTGTAGTTTAAGGTCCCTTTCCCACATGACATTTTTATTTCAATTTGTTTACCTAGGGAGTTTAATAGCGTGAAAATATATAGCCTATATCGTGTCGAAGTGTAGAGCTTTTTTATTAAAAAAGGAATTATTCGTAAATACGCTGTGATTGCTGTCATCTTACGCCACAGTGTGTGTGTTTACTCTTTATTATATTTTATAATTATAATACAAGGTTCTTACATGACGAAAATTTCGTGAACTACAGTTAGAAAAACAAGCTTACTATGTCTTGGCACGTAATAAATCTTTATGTGATTTATTATGCTCGTAAAATTAATGTAGTGGTTTTTTACAAAGTAACGCCGGTTTTGAACTGCACATAAACTGTGACTTGACAGTTGATTGTTTGTTATTATATTGTGCGGAATATAGTCTTGTTTGCAATTTTATTGTATATCGCAGTAATTAAGTAAGCTGTGCATACTGAGGGTCTATCACAAACATTTGTATGATAGTTGCGAGATTCTATTCTTAAAATTTACATATTTAGATTCTTTTAAACAGATGTTATAAAGCAATAGAATAACTAAATAAAAATGTGAGTAGAAAATTACTTTAATGACAGATTTACTTATGTCTTAGTCTAAAAATTTCTCTTAAATTACGTGATTTAACAGTACCCCATAAAACTCACCGACATGAGATCTATTTCGGCGGCCACCTGTTACACCGTGCATACAAATTGTGTGACTAACAATAAGACGGGCGGACCGTGTGAAAATGTGAGGTGTACACTTATTTATAATAGTAATAGTTGCGAGTCGCGACGAGTCGAAATAGATTTTTATATGTTTGTACGTTTATTGGGTACAGTGGGTGGAGGTCGGTATGAAATGGGAGAGTTTCACACAAGGGTTGAACAGTGAGGCTGAATATTGCAGTACTGTTATTAAACGGGTTAACAAGCATAGGTACGGTTTTATCCCTTGGATATCTGGAAGCAATGTTGCACTCTAAACAATTTTGGTCAAATTTCACATTTCATTGTCTTCTCCCAAGTCAGGATGTCTTTGTAGATTTCATTCTTGATATCTAAATAGTACTGCAATGTTAGCTGCTCTGTCTCACTGTTCTTCGTGTGAAACTAGTTACTGAGCGGTTTTCTGATGCTGTTTTCATTTGTCAAACCGAGCTTTAGCAGAGTATTTGTCATGGTCAATGTTTCTAGTAATATGTTTTGTGGAAAATTTTCATATTATTTATGTTTTGGCAAACTGTATGAACATTATTAATTATTATACTTCGAATTGTTAGTAAATCTAAGAAGCGAAGATTATTTTGAATATACCTAAAATAAAATAAATCTTCAAGTTCAATTGCAATAATGTCGCAAAAATGAGTGGATTTCTAAAAAAAATCCTAACTGTAAATAACAAAGTAATTGGCAATCTTTTTAGATCCCGGATTAAAATGCAAATCGTTAACGCAATGGACGCTTTTGTAGACGTACAAGAATAACCCAATGTTTACAACCGTCACGGCAATTCTCAATCTCTAAACAGTTTGTCTTTCAGATAATAGAATCATCAAGAAAATCTCTGGATAGAATTGGAACGACAAATAAAAAAATCTAGGTCGACAAGATCAGAATAGTCTAGGACTATGTTTACTAAAATCTAATTTAATAACCTGCTAAATTCAAATGTTTTATAGTTTTTTTTTGGGTTAGAAACCACCTCATATTTAGAACTCTTTATTATAGTATTATCACGATGAATTAGGAAAGAATAAAGATATTAGAGGACAAACGGGTTATAAATTATTGTGCGATGCTGTCGACTATTTTGACCCGGGTGAAAGTAAAATAATTTTACTACAACTCAATAGCACCTTCCTTGTCGAAAATGAGCCATTAGTTCCTCGTACTTTTCGGTGGTTTGTCTTCTATGTACTTCTTATTAGATTTTATATATTGTCTTGAAGAACTAGCCTCACCGGGGCAATTAATTTTGTCTGACTATATTCACATACCATTGCACATTGAGATCAAGTTAGATAACTTAAAGTTTTCCTGCTTCTACTTGATACTCCAGCACCCGCACCGCAAAACGTAATGACAATATAAATATATCAACTTGTAGCGGAATTGTTTTACCCAGAACTGAATGGTTTCGTTTTCCTCGTGTTTGTTTTAAACTAAAATAGAATAATGACTGCAAGTACTGATTGCTTGTTTTATTGTTTACTACGTTGAGGTGTGCGTAGTCATTACGTTCTCAATTAACATATTTCCAATAACTACCAAATTGGTCTATACTATTATAATAAATCGTAAACACACACATCTTTGTTGCCTAAGATGTCAGCAATTACAGCATATTTTTGAATGTATCCTTTTTTGATGAAAAAAGCACAACACTTACGTCACGCTTTAGGCTATATATTTTCACGCCATTAAATTTAGGGGTCAAATATTTTTGATAAAAACCTTAATGTGGGAAAGAGACCATAAGTTATGAAAAATCTCTTAAGTCCTTTGCCTTTCGTATAACGGAGATTCGTGATGGAACGATACATTGAGTTGTTGTGTCGTGTCGTATACAAAAAACATCGAATTAATTAATTCGGCTTCCGAATGTTCATTTTTTGGAATACATCATGACTCAGACCGTGGAAATATTAATTCGTTGACTTGTTGTGTGTACTTATAAATGATTGTTAGGTTTGCTTGTAGAAATTTTATTATCAGATAAAAAGCAGAAAATCCTAAGAGAATTCATAAATTTACTAACTTCTGTCTTCAAATATGTTTTCTCTAATCTCTAGGCAATATACAAGCGGTAACACTTTGTAGTGTTTAAAGAAATCGGACGACCTGAATACTGGCTTGGTCATAATTGCTGGCATAAAGTAGCTTAATGTAAACAAACTGTCCTGTGCTACTGTCTGACTTTATTGTCCAAATGCAAACTAAGCAATAGGCCTTTGTTGACATGAGTTATGTTTACCCTCTGACCTTGACCCCATGAGAACGTAAATCTCAAAGTTGAATTTTTAAGTTTAGTTAACTATAGTATTTTCTGATAGATAATTCCACGTTTTCATACAAGTAATTCATATTTCCGTTTGATTTTAAAAGAAAATGTATACGTTTGAAAATAGTAAATATTTTTTTAATAATTGAACGCCGACGATATCTACGTTACGGTACGTAGTACGAAAATATAACAAAACACGTTGTTATGTCGCGTGCAAAATTAACGCATTTTTCAATGTTTTCGTGGAATCGTTTTTCTCATCTATTTATAAACGTTAACGCTAATAATTTCGCGTTTCGTAAGTTGCTATAAAACTGTCATTCGAATAGTTCTATTTTAAAAATAATCTCTCTTCAACTACAACAATTTCTATTTATTTTTACGATAGATTTATTTTAAAAGTTTTTCCTTATAATTTATGTTAAGGACAAAAAAGAAAGAAAACATAGTTTGTCTATCTTCTATAATTTTATGTATTTTTTTATTAAAATAGAAAATGTGAATTTATAATCATAATTGTAATCGAAACTCACCATTGTATCCGAGTGTGCGTCCTTTAGTGATGTAACACGCGCGCGTTCACTGCCGTTTCGAATCAGACTGATCGCGCGCTGCCTCGTCCCGTGCTGTTACCTCCTGACGATTCTATCGATATATCCTTAAGCTCTTATTAATTAATATTACTCATTCTGGACTAGTTTAAATTTACCGATACGATAAAATTGTAACGCACGACGGCAATATTCCAACTATTCCCCATCTTACATTGCAATTATACGGTTTGGGTTTCGTTCATTGCTATCTGAATCATGCTAGTGCATGCTATCTATCGCCACTTCACTTGCGTTGCGGTAAAACATAAGATTCTTCCTAGAATCGGATTGAAGAAATATAGCGTGTAATTTTATCTATTTTAATAAAACATTAGTAAAAAATTTGACTAAAACATATATTATTTGAATCTGCAATAATAATATGACTGTAATTATCCTTTTGAATGTTTGTTTTATATAAATATATCGATAAAAACAGGCCATCACTAGTGCGAAGACGAAAATATAGGCGCCTTATCGTAGATGACGTAATCGTTGCATATACCGGGAATTGCACGGATTGGAGGCTGGGAGTAGTTGCGACCCGATGAAAGTAGATTTAGGGGCACGTAGGTTGTGTCAGGCAAGGTCAAGGGCGATGTCTGTCTATGGAACCTGTTACCTGTATACAGTTGTGACCATCTTGATATGTTGGATACAGCGGTGTTTGCTGTATTTTTGTATTATTGTATGCTTGTTGGATTCATGTATCTTATTGCTCTTAGATTCCGGACGCCGAGCTCGCTAGTGCAGAAGTCAGCCGGTTGCTGAGGGAATTATGTGGTGACACATCCGGGTAAGTTAAAGAGAAACCAGAAACCAGCAGATTCTTGTCTTATTAACTCTTTTAGTATTGTAGGACTAAATTGCACAAACTGAATTTAGTTATTTTCTAGTTAGTTTAATGTTTTTGGATAATATTGGAGTGTATAATCCCATCGGCGTAGTTCTTTGTAAAATACTAATTTAGTGATAAAATTTACATTATTCACAGATAATGAAGGTGACTAAAGAATTGCGTAAAGTTCTATTTAATGATACGTGAATATTTCGTGAATCATTGTCTTGTCTTTATCGATATTTGATTAGGAAACATCACTATTTTTGTTACTTTAATTGTATTTCACGGTTTTTTATTTCTGAGAATTGTTTCCTTAATTTCTTAATTCGATCATTTAATATTGAGACCTAAATTCAGAATTGCAATATAATATGTTTGTCGACAAGTTTTGTGTAAATAAGTTATCGATAATATCTATGGAAGTATTATGATTCATTTCCTGTTTTTAATTTACAGTTTTAAATTAAAAACAATATCAGATAAATATTTACATTTGAAACTGTAAATTAAGTATAATCAAGCTATAAAGATTACATTCATCAACATACACTTGTCCCGTTCTTATTGTATTGGTTAATCCGAGATGGCAATATTCAGTTCAAATCTCAAGATTAACGCGATCTCCCACGCTTCCTTTCCCATACGAGGCGTGCTGACTAATTACGTTACCAGGTACCTTTAAGAAGCTTCTAAATTTGGTAACACCTTATGCTCGAAAGTATCGTGTGAGTCGATCTCTGACTTTCGCTACCCACGTTCAAATTCACCTTAAACGGTAGAATCCATTTTGTCCTTTAGGATAATGGTAATGAATAGGTTTTATGATGGTACTAAAGGTAACTTAGTCTGAAATTTTCATGAGACGTTTATCGGAACACAATTATAAGATATAGGATCTGCCCACCAAATTGTAAATTGTCTGATAACAATCCAACGTGTAAAATATGTGATGGAAATATCGGTTTTGTTACCTTATCTGACAGTGACGTCAGTTTTAATGCCAAAGGTGGGACTGGCCCTTAATATTTCTTTTGGTAACGTTGATTCGGCTGGTTAGTTGTACTGGTTTCCAATACATTAGTTGTTGATATACTGCGTGCGAACGATGCAATTTGATTCTTCAGTTACACGTATAGCAAGATATTGAGTTGATATGTTAGTCAAAATGTTTTCATTTGATTGTAACTTTTATGGATAGGCATTACTATGGTGGGAATTTATTAAGACTTCTTATTAAGAAAGTCTATGAATACTATAGCTATATAGGATGTTCTCGTATTTGTACGATGAGCTAAACGTACGTGAGACTTGCTCTCAGTATTCAGGGCTTGGTAAAACAATGGGATGGGTGACCGCGGCACTGGAGGCCGTTTTAGTATGGTCCGGTCACGTAATTATACGTGATTGGGTCTCAACACTCCCGCCTAATATAAAAATATAAACATTGGTTTGGTGCCAACTTAAATCGGTAGCCGATTTCATCGCAATAGTCTTTTGTTGAGGTTATTTCAAGGATATGATAAAACGACCTTGTAACTCATAGGTTGTAGCACTTAGCTTTTGTAGAAGGTATTTGGCTCGATTCCCAGGAAAGGAATTTTAGTGATGATTTTCTAAAAATATTTCTCTAGTCGGTTTTCTTTGCTTGCTGATTTGATTTTTATACATTTACCCTAATATAGTAATCTAAATGAAAAGACAAATCACGGGTTTTTTTAATACTTATTAATGAAAAACTTTCCACATATTCCACAAGACAGTAGGAAATTTACCAAATCGATTGACAGATAAAACATTATTCGATATCCTTTATTTAGCTGATAAATGTATTATAACGATAAATGTACGGGAAGCGAAACATATTGAAATTTGTTGTTATTTTGTATAGTTATTGATTTTAAAAGTAAAATCCTAGATTACACAATTCAGGGATATATATCATAAAGTACTTAGTGACATGTATTCTTTCTTACACGATGCACACCAAATTGTGAAGTGACGACCGAAAATGTTAACTCAGTGGGGGAATTCAGATGCTTTTAGACTATGTCACGGTGAGTTTCCATTCCTGAAACAGTTGTACAAAAATACCACCCTACCTATTTACCCTATTTCCGTACCAGTCTGTCCCTTTCGTGCAGAAAGCACTTTGTTTCGACTTCAATATGTTCCGCTTTTATCTGATGTTCACAAGTACGAAGGACAAGGTCATTTTATATTGAATATTTGACATTGTTTTACAATTTCAGACTATGACCGATTTTATTTGAAAATCCGATTATGTTGGCTTTTATTATCCAGTAGATTTCGCCCGTGACTCCGGCTGCTTGGTATTAAAAAAAAAAGGGAGTAGTCTATGTGTTCTTTCAGACTATCCTCTATATCTATACCAAGTTTCATCGAAATTCGTTCAGCTGTTTAGGCTACAACAAACATCCATCCATCTAAACTTTCGTATTTATAATATTAGTAAGATTTAAGAGTTGGTCAGCTTTGAATACATACTTTTTTATTTTATAATTAAAGGGCTTATGTTTTGTCTCGTACAGCAGTTGTAATGTTTTAAATATCTATGTATTATTTCAAAGCAATTGTAGAGGTGACTGATCTCAGTGTGTACTAATGACAATAAGAAATGTCCAGCGTAGGTAGAGTTCGTCTGTCATCGACTATTTTTTTGTCTGTGTTTCTCGTGAGAAGTTTTCACTGTGTTGATAATTTCTAAAATTTTGAATAATCTCAAACATTGAGAATAAATGTTACTTATTGATGTTATAAAGTGGAAAAGCTGTTAACTAAGTGCTGACGTCATTGTTACCATAACAATAAAGACATTAAATGCTGTTATTCTGGACGATCAAATAACACCATCGCGGTGTAAACGAGCACTACAAGATAATTGCTCGTCCCGATTTGTGCAATGCGATTTAAATTGGCGCGGCCTTGTGTGATGATGTCATGCCCTCGGTGTTTGTTTCACCGTTTTAACGTTGCACTTCTAGTACGCTTCAATTTTTATCTATCATTTATCATTAATGAGACTAACCTCTCCCAATTAGCATTGACTTGTGTAAATCTACATCCTGTTATTTTTATAAGATCGATTTTGCAGGAGCACAATTTAACTAATTATTTCTCACAGGCGTTCTGTGGTGGAAACTGAAATTAAGCATAAATCGCCATAACCATAAAACTGTACATAAAATTATTAATTTCACATCATTTATTTAACTGTTGAACCTCTATGTAATCTTGATAGCTTTACTTTTGCTGGCGTCCTGCGGGTGCTATATAAATAGGGTGTATGTTGTCCGTCTAGACGAGTCTCCCCCGATGTCAGACCCACCCTTCTGATGTATGACAGAGTGTATGATGTCACCATTTCCCCTGGTATTAAATTATCTGATAGTATAAGTACCGAACCACAGCCCAGTTGAAACGTTTTTACTAAATTGCATGACATCACCCCTTTGCATTATATTCTTTAAGCTATTCTCATTATTGCAATAAAAATATGTATGTATGTATCTTTATACTTTTGTACATGTATGTAAAACCCTACCCTCTAAAACTAGATACCTATATATCGTGATACTCTGGTTATTGACTGAGTTTCATAGAAAACTTTTGTTTGTAGAAACAAAAATGAACGCGTTTCTGGTGCGAAGAATGCACAACTTCATTGCGTCAGAACTAGCAGTCCACGTCAACATACCACACCACAGCTTCTGAGGGTATGTAGGAGTTATGTATGTACACGATATATCCTTCTATTGATATAATTAACATCCTTAACGATTGTTATGACCTTTAGATTTTAGAAGAAACTATCCAAAAGAAGTCACCAAGATCGATGAATGTGAGATTGTCAACGATAAAGGACAAGGAGGCGGAGAAGTACCGTATGTCGTTTAACATATCTGGGAAGACAGTAGACAATCTTTTCCAGTACAGAACAAAATATGTCCAGCACATGCTGACCAGTGCTATGTATGCCAACAGTGCGGTGGAGAAACCTTGGGAAATGGTCAATAGGTAATCTTAGTAGTAATTGACATGTATTTAGCAGAACCCTCACTAGTAATAGGTTTTAACAGTTGATTGTTAAATTGTTTAATTTAACAAGAATTATTTCGTAGTGTATCGGATCAAATCGTCGACGAACTACTACTGAAGTGTGCGAAGGAGATGGAGCTACGTCCGATCATACAACGCTTATATCAGAACGAGACAAAAGGATAAATAATAAACATTTGGACGGTGGAATTTTTATCTCAATGTTTGAATAAAATATTTGATCTGTACAATTATTTAACTGTTGTTACCTTAAACATAAGTTTGCTTCAGTCTAATAACTATACACGAAATTTTAAATCTATTATTATGGTTAGACTATCGTCAACTTAGTTAATTGTGTACAGAACTTTACATGGAAATTAAATATTTTATTAGAAACGAAATGCAGTCTTACATCTAAAATTCGTTTCGCTAAATACATTACGAGTTTATAAATAACAGTTTTTAAATATCAACACAGTCATACAATTATAAATAAGGCACTTAACTATACGACTAGGTTCACACGTCTGGCAATATTATACGAAACCTATGTCATTGTGAGTTACATCAACCTTACAGATTATACATTATCGGATTTATTTATACTTAACCGAATCGAGTTTAATACTTCGTTAAACTTTGCTTTCTGTCTCTTTAATGTGTCATTTTTTTCTACCTTCGGAATTTTCGATATGTTTTCCGCACTCCATGAGTATGGTTCCTCGGGTGTTGGCGGATTGGATTCCATCACTCTCGGCTTCACTAACCGAGGACCTCCTGCTGCAAAAATACTCTCCAACTTTGATTTTAAATCTTCTCTGCTCAAACTTATATCCTCGTCATCTGAATCGTTGTCATTTTTCTTTGATTCTGTTTTATGATCAACTACATCTTCTGCAATCTTTTTAGGCTCGTCTACTTCCTTCAAATTTCTAGCCTCTAATTCTTTTTTCAAATCAAAGAAAATTGACGGCCGTTCTCGACTCAAGGAATATTCCGCATTGTCTGCTAAATTCCCAGCCGAATGTGATCTTTTCCTTAGCTCTTCCCCATCATTAACCGATGAGATTTTCGTCTGGAAGATAGTGTTTAACTTTGACATAAAATTCATTTGCTTATCGCTACCGAAAACCATAGGCGCTTCATCAATAGAACCGTTGGATTGTATACTCAGTCGGGGCTTCTCATTTGTTGGTTCAGGAAATAATCGCACCTTTGACGGTCTCGATGATATTGTATAAGATTTTTTGAAAGTTGGATTGGAAAAAAGATTTTCATCCATAGGTGGAGGAACCGGTATCACGGGCGCCTGTGCCCTGTTATCTTCAACGGACTCGCTAAATGTATTTTTATCTAAAGTATCAGAATACCCTGATTCATCTGTACGTGAATTCGTTTCACTTTCATTGATCTCTGTAATGTATTCGTAATCGTCGTTTTGGTCGGTGATTTCATTTTTCTCCTCCTCTTCCTTGAGCTTTGGTAAATCTTCTCTATGCACTAGCGCTATAACATCATATTTAGATAATACCTGATTACCCAACGATGCGTCCGATCCTGCGTCAGACAATTCACTTAACGACTTTCTGTGCAATTCCGTTGTTATTGCATTATCCTTCTCTTCTTTTTGTGGTTCCTGTAAAGTAATAATTTCTTCATAGGAATCTTCTTCAGCTTGTAGCACTTGATCTAATAAATCAATTATTTTCGCTTCCTTCTCTTCATTATCCTCTACGATTGCTTGTTGTACAATAATCTCTTCAGTAACAAAAGGTATATAATTTCTGACGACTTTTTGTTCCACTGGTGTTCCAACAACACTACTTTTGATTGTCGAACTGATACTCAAATCTCCTCCTCGGCTACTACTGATTTTAATAGTATCAGGAGGTGTCGGGGTTTCGATGATTATCTTCACTGGAGGGCCGCCATTCTTGTTTATTTGTGTCGGTGTTTTGTCTTCACTGGAATTGCGTCTACTCAGTTTTTTGTAGTAACATGTACATATGAAATACACTGGAATACCTGGAACAAATTCATTCAACATTACAGTAACACCTTACATCAAATAAAATTTTTAAATCGATCAATCGACTTACCAATTGCTATCCAGATGACGACTCGAATCCAAGTTTGTATGTTGATTAGGATCATGAGATGTATGTTGGCGTATATGCTGAGGCAAGGTACGACTGGCACTAGAGGAGTCTGCAATTTTTATTCAAGCATTATAAGCGTGTAATCGAATTTCCCATTTTAAAGACTAATTAGGAAATGAATTTATTATGTACCTTAAATGTTAGATCCTCGTCTGCTTGCGGCTGCAATATTATGACTATCATCAGCGCCAAGCCAATGCCATGAAGAACTAGAATAGGCACGAGTGGATCCTCCACGTAGCTACCGACTAGGGCGGTTGATAAACAAATGCAGACTGGAATAATATTATTTTTTTTATTCAATGTCCATTACTCATTAACTTAAACAACAATTAATTGATCAGTAAATCAGGATGATCTACATTCTATAAAGGAGCTAGTCTATCCGCCTTTTCTATTATATTTGGGCACTAGAGTTTCGTTTCGAGATTTACCACCGTTATTAAATCATAAACTTATGCTGTAAAAATGAGTAATCCAAAGTAAACAGTCAAACAATGTAAGATGAAATACAAAATTAACTTACTATAGAAAATTAAAGTGGTGTTGACGAGTCGCGAGGTACATGCACTCGACTTTCTGTTACAGCAACCACTCTTAGTACGGACAGCGTCTGTCTCATTGTGTAAAGGCGTTGGACGATACCTAGTAATAACAGAATACAATCATACTTCATACTAATATTATAAATGAGAAAGTTTAGATAAGGGCTGAACGGATCTGGATGAAATTTGGCATAGATGTAGAACATAATCGGAAAGAACACATAAGCTACTTACTGTTTTTTTTATTCCACGCGGGCGAAAGCTTGTATTAATATAGTAGGTAAACGATCATCCAGTTAATTTTTCTTTTCATAGATTTAAATTACCTTAGCAATATAACGCAAGCTGCGACAATAGTGTATGAGAGCAGCGTTCCTATACACATCATCATCACTAACTGCTCCAACTCCAAGATAGCAGCTAACACGGCTGAAAATTAAAATATTGTATTGCATTGTGCATAAGCAATTTGAAGCGGAAAGTAAGTCAGTAGTACCCTTGCGGCTGTTAAAGGCGGACGTCATTTTTGCTGATCTAGTTTTCGATAAAGCTCCTAGAATATTCTATGCAAAATGTCCAAAAATCTTACCTATGACGCATGTAGGTATTATCGTGCCGAGAACTGGTGACTTTCTCTTGCTGGTGACATGTGCCAACCAGTGGCACAGCAACCCGTCTGATGCCATTGAATACAGAAGCCGGGGCAACGGGAACATGGAACCAAAGAGACTGAAACACAAACAATATTGGACACAGTAAACTGGTTTATTCGTCTTGAATATAGTATAAGATGCAATCTAGCAAATATGGTAGTTTATCGCAGCACAACTCGTACCTCGCAGAGATACCAAACACAGCACCAACAGAGACCACCCAGCGCGCCCAGTCCCAGCCCACGAATGTGAAAGCCGTCGCCACAGACGCCACGGTGTCCTGAAATTATTGTTAAAAGGGATCATATTTTTGAGCAGATGTTGCGGCAGAAACCCATGTTAATTAACTATCATAGTAATTGAGCAATTCCAGAGAAAACCAGGCAATTAGTTTTTGGTTGCTTACCTGCAGGTAATAGGGTACCATCATGGTGATGACGACAGAGACGCTGGCGTAGGCAGCGAACACAATGCTCAGCACTGTCAGGATTGCTATCGGGATAGCGCGCCGCGGCTCCCGCACCTATCACATAAAAATTAGTACCATGGTGAAAAAAGGAAAAGTGGCAGACCATATACTTGATAGGTCGATGATATCAAAGCGGTAGCGGTCAGCGCCTAGTTCAGAAAGAAGGATAGAAGGCTATGGTTCATAATGGCTCCTTCATTTTTCCTTTGCCTTTGTCAAAATGGCACACGGACAATAATTATTTTTAGTAACAGTGTATTATATTAGGATTGGTCATTTATTGTGTGAATAAAAATTTACATATTATATTTTTTATGTCAAATGTTAAGTGTTCCGTTGTCTAACATCTGTTACCTCTTCACCAGTAGAGTTGATTGTATCGAACCCCACGAAACCGTAGAAGCAGACAGCGGCGCCGCGCAACGTGCCCCCCGCGCCGTACGGGAAGAACCCCCCGCTACCATGGCCATCCGGCACCGCACTACCCGGGATAGCCCAATTACGAGGGTCCGCTGGAATTCACGATAACAATATTGAAAAGAGATAGATAGATTAGGCTATTGGTCACATTGGAGTAGGTTAGCACGAGTCGAGGTGCGCTATTATGGGGGTATTATAGCGCACCTCGTATACTACTAGCGGATTAGAGACTTTCCGGATTACCCACTCACACGATAGAAAACATTAATAGCAAAGTATTAATCACAGATTGAATATTTGTAGTTGTTACCTTTGAAAGCACCGGCGACAACAATAAAGAGTATGACCAGCATGTTGGAGGCGGCCAGCACCTTGTTGACTGCGGAGGATTCACGCGCGCCCAACGATAGCACCGCTACAATATAGTGAAAGAAGTCACAACATGATATTAAAAAAAAAAAACATTTACACCGATTATAACAACAATAAAAGCGGGCGCACACCTTTGACTAAACAATCGCAAAACTGCTGTGCAATCGTCGATTGTTTCGCAGCCAATTCAACTGTTTGGTTGCACAACTATAATCGAGTAGTGTGCGCACTTCCATATAACCTCATAGGAATCAAAGCAAGACTAAACAGTTGTGGGATAGTTTAGTTTCAAGTGTGTACTTGCTTCAAAGGGTCGATTCAATACGATTTTATCTAAGGTATCTGATGAAAACTTCTTGTAAGTCTTCTGTTTTTTAAGTTGTTCTTTGACGTTAAGTCGGAATTGAAAGTTTTGGAGGCCACAGACATTTTATCAGTGTAATATTAACAGGATTCTACATTCTTACCTCCGAGAACAAGTACAACGAGGAATGAGAATAAGTCAAAGTAAGGGGAGAATTGTGGGGAGTAGATTGGCGCTGCTTGCAGAAACCAGTTTGACATCGATTTGTTGGTCATCGAGTCAATGTATAAGCTTAGGCCCCGGGCTACACTCGCCGTACCTGGAACAGTGTAAATGATGCATAAAATAACATGGTGATTGCACTGAAATACAGTAATATTTGTATTAGGAAAATTATTTTTCTATAACTAAATTAGGTAAAAAAAACCTTTGGTAAGGACTACGATAGCCTTATTTCCCGGTTTAATACTAAAACACGTTACAGAAGCTTTAAGGAAAGGAGATATTTGTAATACCTAAAATGTAACTTATTTTATTTAAGAGGAATTAGGCTTACTTAAGATATTTTATTTTCAGAATCCTTTAGTACCTTTATTGTTCTTTTCATACATTTTTAACATTATAAAAAATCTCGTAGTCTATTTTAATTTATGAATTATATTAAGAAGTAACTAAGTCTTACCAAAAACACCTTCAAGTATCATATTCCATCCGATAATAAACGCTACGAACTCCCCGACTGCTACGTAAGTGTAGATGTAGGCGGACCCCGCCTTCGGTACGCGGGAACCAAACTCCGCGTAGCACATACCTGAAAATAGCAGTAAAGATTTCATAAAACAAATTGACATCTTACTAATATTATAAGTGCTAAAGTTTAGATGGATAGATAAATGGATGGATGTTTGTTAGAGTTTGTAGCCTAAACTGCTGAACAGATCTCGATGAAATTTGGTAAAGATGTAGAGGATAGTTTGGAAGAACACATAGGCTATTTACTTTTGTTTTAGTTTAATTCCACGCGGACGGTGTCGCGGGCAAAAGCTAGTAGATAAATAAAATGAATTGTAGCGATTATATTTGAAATATAGTAAGCACAAAATTACCCTAAATAGAAATTGCATCAACCTTTAAGTTACGGGCGTATTTTAGTGAATTAAAATTGAAGTGGTGTATTAAAAAATAATATGATCTTACCTGCAAATAGGGAAGCGACGGCGGCTATTAAAAACGATAATATAATAGAGGGTCCGGCAAAGTGCAGCGCCACAGAGCCCACCAGCACATACACGCCCACTCCCAGCGTGCTGCCCACGCCGAGCGCCGTCAGGTCCCATATCGTCAGACATCTACATAACAAAGATTAGATCAAGTATAGATACTAGAATCAAGTAAAGATGCAAGAAGGGCTTATAATCTGATAATCATAGTTATTTTACATGTTGTAGGAAATCCTGTGGCTGAGGCCAGAGGCAAAAGATCGGTGTCAAAATTCTTGAACCCCGAATTATTGCTATATATATATATACTTTTCGTTCTAATAATTTGACATCTTAAAATAGGCCTTTTTATACTAAAAGGGCTAACGCAAGGGTCAACCATTATATGAATAACAGAACAAGAAGGCGGAAGACTTATAGTACATGTACCTTCTCAAGTTGCTGACCTCCAGCTGGTCTGGCTCGAAGACTCGCTTTCTGGCCATCGCCCGCCCGAAGGCGCGCCACTTGCCGCCGGCCATTGATCAACTGGTGAGCCCAGCGCACCACCTATGCCGCATCTGGATTCCTTCACCACCCAACCTGGACAACACTAGTTCATGTTTTAACATAGTCAATATAATGTCTACCCACGCACTACAATATTTTTTACACTAAATTTGACTCATAATGCTAAACCTCCCGCGTAGTCTAGTGCCTACACTGGGCGACGAAGCAATACTACGTTCATTGGTCTTGTAGTATTATACCAATGCGTACCTTATTGTCTATTGTACTGTGACGTCATTGTACTCAGGTGTCGCGTTATTGTGTATTGTGATTATTTCGCGGTATAATTGTAACGCAGCTTGTGTAGTGTGTATTATGTATTTATTAATAATGGTATATTATTCATTTATTTTATTATTCATTCATTAATCGGAAATGAATATGATTTATGAATAAGAGGAAAAAAAATGTGACAGATTTATTACTTTCAGATTTTACCGTTAGTTCATTCTTGTGTCATTCGTTAGTAAAATTAAAATTTACCATTTTTATATCTAGAAAAAATTTATAAAACAGTCTGATTAAGATATTAAAATATCTCTATCTTTTGATCCAATCTCAAAATCTTGATAAAACCGTTGTTGTTGAAAGGTAAATGTCAAATTTGACAATTATCATCACAATAGCACAGAGAATAGAATAATTATGAACCTTGACTTTATATTATCTATACTAATATAATAATCATTCGTACAATAATAAAAAAAGGTTTAAAAATTGAGAAAAGGTATTTTATTGAACCAACATTCATGTTAGAAAAATATTAGCTTTAATTTAATCCACTGCCCAAACTCTGATACAAAAGACACTGCTGTCACCCTCATTCTCGTTGGAAAAACAGAGATAACAATGCCTCTATATAGGTGTTGCGGCGGTAATAAAAATCTACGCACAGCAATGAGTCCAGATATGTGTCAAGTTTAGCATAGTTTAGAGATAAGATAAGCAGAGATCATGATGTAGTTTCGATAGTGAATTTACTACTGCAAAAAGTATGCGAAAACTGTATTTAGTAACTGTAATTGTACTTAGACAAGAAAATAAAACACCATCATAGCTTCGCTGTTGTACGATTAAGGACTATGTCCGCGTTTGTATAGTTTTAAATCGTTAAGAAAAAATCCATTGCGGATGGAGGTAAGGGCGCGCAAGGGTGGGCCATATCTATCAAAATGGTAACAGGTGGTCCTAATTTTTTCTAACGAAGTTTTCGGGCGACAGCTCGTAGTATATATTCTATGCAGCGTAGTGCGTTAATGGCCTTCTTTAAAAGGAAGAAGAAAAACTCCTTCAAGGCTGGCAACGTATCTGCGATTCCCTTGGCATTGCAGATGTCCATTGGCGTCGCCTTTTATTATAATAAATCTAGTTTCCTTATCATCATTAATAACTAAATTAACTGCAACATTTTATTCGTATAAAGAATAATCTTTTACCACATAAAAATTTCCTTTATTACTTTCATCGCCATCTTTGTATTCTACTGACATATTTTAGTAAATAACCAACGCGTTATTCATAACTGATTATTGCCTATAATCAGGTAAACAGTGATAAGAAGCAATCTAGTATGTTTGATAACGACGAAATTACTAATTAACACCCCTCGTGTTTTCCAACTTCAACTGTGCACTTTATATCAACATTAAATGTAACTAAGCGATAGTGTTTTTTACCTTAGCGATAGAGTTGAAAAGCTTACAATTAATGTAATAGCATTTTAAAAGCTACTTTGACAATTAAATATATCGAGAAAAACGAAAACTGGATCGTGGAAGCATTTTTACTCGACAGTGGAGTTTCAACACTACAGTGAATCACACCGTAGGTTTTCAACGACTTTAAAAAACAAAATGTATTTATTGGACAAAAACAATTTTGTACAAAACCATTGCGTCTATGACTCCTAACCTAGTATTATTTGTGCGTCGGGAGGGCCGACTTGATTTCGGCTATAACCACTAGAATATTCTATCGGCTGTAGAAATTTAACTGTAATTACTATTTCATGACTTCGCGATACTTCTGCGATGAACATATATCACAAAACATTGGAGTAATACGATAAAAAAGACAACGAAAATCTATATTTATCTTTTTGTTATACGGTCCCTAATTTCCACTGCCTGTATAGAAAAACGTTAGATCTCAGTCATTTCTACAATGTGATAGAGATGGTAATAAATTTTTGAAATGGATTTGGCAATTAACTAAGTTTTTGTAGTTTAAAAAACAAATCAAATCACAGTAACAAAATAAACAATACGTCCTAAGCAATATAAGTATAATTGTTTTATACTCCACGTTTACGCGAGAAACTCACTGATAACGAAGTTTTTCTTTGATAAGATAAAAAAAATGTAATCAGTAGATCTTCCACGTTGTTTGGAGACTGCGAACTTTACTATATTCGGATATATGTTCGTAATGTTAACTATGTTTAATTGCTATAAAGTTTACTTAAAAAACATACAGACGAATTGAGTACCTCCTTCTTTTGGGTAGTCGGTCAAAGACAATGTTATTCCATCTAAAAAAAATGAAAAAGACACACAGATGAATTGAGTACCTCCTTCTTTTGGGAAGTCGATCAAAAACAATGTTATTCCATCTAAAAAAGAATTTAAAAAAAAACATATAGACGAATTGAGTACCTCCTTATTTTGGGAAGTCGGTCAAAAACTAAAACCAAATTGTTTTTTTGCATATTTAGGTAGTGGGAATATAGGCGAGTGCGACTGTGTTGTCAAAAATGCGATGATTTAAAAAAGTAAATGACGTAATTAAATCAAAAGTATTCACATTTGATATCGAGCAAATACGCAGTGATTAAAAACCGACGTTATCATCGCTAATAAAAAAACAAACGAAGTTTAACCATTAGTACATACTGCAGCAATCTCGTATTGAAACATTTGCTCTCTGTCTTTCATACAGAAATAAAAAAGGATAATAATGAACGCGGGTGGACAAGACATGTTTTAAAAGTCGAAATTAAGAGCGGATGCACAATTTGACAATCGCAAAACTGTTGTACGATTGTCGATTGTTTCGCAGCCAATTCATCTGTTTTTGCACAACTAAAAATCGAATAGTGTGCGATAATTTTGTTTCAGATATGCACCGCTCTAACTTTTGAATGATTGTTAAAGTTCAATAGTGAATGATTTGTTTCAATCGAACGATAGGCATATTGGAATTGCTATTATCCTAGAAATAAGCATATTATAATGCTTATATTATTCTATACAAAGAATTTATTACTTGAATCAACATAATCACATGACTCATTGATTGAAAATATGGATCAATTACTTTCTTAACTGACACACTCAGAGATATTTAACTATTACTTAAACAGTTCCTAACTGTAGTTATTTCTCATTAAATAGACCCTACAGTAGGATAGGGTCAAAGGTAGAAGAAGGCTGAAGAAGTATGGATGGATTGTGTGAAAGTGGATATGCTTAAGAGAATGAATTAAGATATGGCGTTTGATAGAGATGTATGAAACTGCAGTACATACTGTGTCGACCCTCGGTAGGGGACAATAGCAATTTTGTGATACAGCCCTATTATGACTTCTGCAAAAGCAGGTGCAGAAGAAGAAAAGCAGAGTAGTTCTCTTAACTTTTGTTAGAAGTACATGCGTTGCTTCACGAATTCACTTACCCTTTTAATCTTTTTACTTATTAAAAAATGGTAGGAGGAGAATAGTGTCTGTCATCGGTAACCAGTACTCGCTCATCAGAGTACACATTACTTAGCTACCATTACTATAGTCATATTCAAAGCAATTATTTTGTATATTTTACATATTTCGCTTCTTAGGTGGTAGGGTTCAGTTGCACCCTATATTTGGCGAAGCCTATTGCTTATATTGCTGACGATCACTATAAAAATTATAAAGGGGTTTCGTAGAAATCCTAGGTTTTAATTTATTATTTAAAACAATAGATTTATAGAAGTTGAATTTAGATTATCCAAATCCCGTATCAAGGTTCAGATTCAAGTAACTACATAAACTAATTATATTTAAATAACATTTAATTATGACGAAATATAGAGTGTAATTATCTTGTATTTTAGAGAAAATCTAACTGATCTAGCACCTTGAGACTTACACAGAAATTTAATAAAACGAGCAATAAATAAAGATATTTTCTTATTTTATCCAACTCCAAGGTCTTACAGTAGAATAAAAATTGATTGCACACTACAATGGTTGGATGTGTGGTGTGACAAGAATGGATAAAGTTAAGAATGTTAGCCAGTGGTGGAGAAATAGTGAAGCAAAAGGTTAGCATGGTATGGACATGTTATGCAACGAGACGATGGGGACATAAACCAGAAAGTGTTAAGAATGAATGTGGATGGCTACAAAGGAAGAGAAAGACCGAAAAAGTATGGATGGATTGGGTGAAAGAGGATATGCTTAAGAAAGGAGTGGTTTCAGATATGACGGCTGATAGAGATGTATGGAAGAGCAGCACATACTGTGCTGAATAAGGGATAAGGGCAAGTTGATGATGACTACAATATCAATTAGTGTGGCATTGGCTAATTAGTAACCGTAAATTAGCACCTGTAAGAAGCCAAGAACTTTCCTTACACACTGATATTTGTATAGTAGAACAGTAGAGGAACATTTGGATGTTTTTTTAACATGACTACATAAAAAAGTCCTACTCCACGCATTAACACCTACTATAATTTGTGTTTTAAAAATGGATATCCAAAAAATAACGAATTATTTTCTCCTATGATTGTGATACCATCTTGATCGAGGAAGCTTTGTTTATTCGTATCTGAGTATTATCATTCTTGTTTAAGGATTAATATGATTCATAATAAAAAGCAATAGCAATTATAACATAAACAAACAGCTATATTAACTATTGTTCATGATAGAAGGTAAAAGAATACGCTATCCACTAAAGACATGCAAAGACAGATATCTCTGTTCTTTTTAAGATAACGAGCGGGATAACAATATTTTAGAATGTAACTGCAATTGATGTTATTTTCGACAATCTTTTGGATGGGTGAAAAAGATATTTAAAAGTTTAAATTAAGATTTTAATTAACCAATCCATTTTACCAATGATAATCTTTAAATGACTTTGCGTATATCTTACAAAACTTGATTTTCTTTAAAGTTCTACAAAGATTATGCTAGACGTGTCATGTGCTGAGTCAACGCACACTTGATGTAAGAACGCAGACTTATCTATGAAAAAAAAACCTAGAAATATCTATTATAGCTCTTCAGTATAAAGTGCAGTTTAGAGTATAATTTACTTCTGGATTTTCTGATAGATTCATTGCTCTCTAATCTTCTCTAATCGTCACATAGTCTTTGCCACACTTGGCACATGAAATCAATTCCAATTGTATGAAAACGTGTTTAAAGGTTACTTACTAGAATTTCTTCAAGACTTTCCTTGTCAATGATCAATCCATTCTTGATTGGACACAAAAAAACAATATCACGATACAAAAATCAACACATCGCTTGCTGACACTTTTTTTTCTCTTGACGAGTATCGTATTAAATATTAGATCGTACTAACGGAATGCGAGCTGTTATCTGATTAAAGCACAGCGTCTGATTAGCGTACCATTATCTCTGGCCAACTGTGTACACTGGAGTACACTAGGCTTGTGCCATCTTTTGTCGAATGCCCGCAATTACAATAGTCTATTGTTTGTTTGAAATCTGATTTAATCCAGTGGCTAGTTAGAACAAACGTTTGAACTCGATTATGAGTCTGTATTCTTAGAAGTGTGTTTCATATTAAAAATGCCCTGTGTTTGTTTTTGCTAAGTTTTCATATTGATTCCACTGATGATAGATTTATTTATGATGGTTTTAATATTATCCGTAACCTATTTTTGGCCTTCGGACAAAAGATAAGTTGAAATAAACGTTCGAAATGAAAAACAAGTGTTAGAACTTATATAAAACTTGATTGATTTACATACAAATTAAAAGGAACCATCTTGTTTCGATCCAACTTCACATACTTTTCAGCGTCCTTTCTAAAAGTACAAAAAGTGTTATTTTATTCAAACACACACAACACAAACTTCTTCAACTACTCAAATATGTAAATATTGCGACTAGCTGATTAGTTTATTTTTCAATGATAACCCTTTTTTCAGTAATACCCTCATGTTTACTGTAATTAATAAATCGCTTTTCATAATAGTACGCGCCTGGATAAAAAGAACAGCATATATACGACACCTCTATATAGCTATTATTTTTCTTCAGGCAGTAAAACAAAATGAAAATGCCTTTAATTCAAATAAGTTTTAAAACATTTACTCTTGAAGTTATTATATCGTCATTAAATGTTTAACTTAACAATATATTGAAAATGGAATTGTTTTCAAAAATCAACCCAGTTCTGTTTTAAATGTATATTTTCAGGAATCTATTATAAATAGATTTAACAATTTTCCGATTTTTATACCATATGTACGACATATTATGATTTAAATTCAAGTATAATTTAACTTTGAATACAGTTTCAATGTCTCTTGATTGTACGGGTTACATTTTTGGAATAGCGACATGATATTTGACCTTGAGCTATCAAGATATTTGAAAAGTCAGACCAATATCAATCAGGTGGCCGCATCCTGAAGCATTCGTGACTGTTCGATACAGAAGTTATTGTAAAGTGACTTACGAGTTGCCATTGTTTAACACCAGTCAGTATCTCTTAACACGTTACTGATATATCACATTTGAAAGTGACAAATGTTGTCACTTAGTACCGATTTACGTAATACATAAGGATGCAGTTACAATAGAAGATAACACGCTCGTTTTACAGCATGCGGGAGGACCCCGCAAACGGGCTAACAACTAATGCATTGGTCGATGAAACAAGCGACGAGTTAACTAAACCCCGGTTTAGTTAACAAAAACGAAAAGTAAGGAATATCGCTAAACGCATGCGGAGTAGCGACTAATGAAACTGCGCCTTAAGGTGTTCTAAATACTAGTTACAATATAAACATACCTATTTCTTCCCTAAAATAAAAGACTTAACGCCAGTGAAAATTCACCGTAACTGCAGATACTGAGACATTCATAAGTTTCATGCAAACGGTTCGTGTATACCTAACCTTACTCGTTCTACGCCGATTGGCGATACTGACTGCTAGAAGTAGTCCGTGTATGACAATACTATATAAAAATTATGTATGTACGCTGAGGAATAGTGTAACTAAGCAGCCACGTGTAATTTTAAACTATTCAAGATCTAATTACTAGATCTAACAACTTAATAATTCTAAGGCTATATTATAATCTTTACCTGGATTTTACTGTATTTTAAAACGTGTCCGTGACCCCTGTGTTGGCAGGGAAAATAAATTTTCTTAGGCCATGCAGCACACCTTATTTACCGACATTTATGCAATACAAGTTGTATGAACAAATTACTATTTACTATCAATAATTCATATTTTACAACAATCTGTTTATATATTAATTTTACTTAAATTTAATCAACAGATTATAAAGACAATCGTGAGAAGTAATAGATATTTTGTAAAAAAAAAGATTCACCTATTACGACGGTCTGTGTAAAATTCGCGCCAGCCAGTCGGTCGCGAACCGCCGCGCGCATGCGTCGTTTATTATTTTGCGTACATTTGCGCGCCAAATTTATTAAATCGTAATTTTTTAAGGTTAGTTTTTAATTCGCGAAGTGACAAGTGTGGTGTAGAAAATAACCATAGAGGAATTGTTTTAAAAGGTAGAAAAATCATGTATTTACTATACATTTTATACAAAAATAAATATTATTGGTTACCGTCGAAAATATACAACAGTTCAAGTATTCGAATCAAATTACATTACTCGAAAATTAGTCTGTGTTCATAATCTTTGGGTTATTTATGTTAATAATAATTTATAATTTTACCTACAATATTTTATCAAAATCGTTAATTGACCTTTTATATACAAAATAATATGCACTTTATAGAAATAAAATAAAACCAACGTTACGTGGTGTAATGTGACATGTTACATGATTTATGGTGTCTGTATACGTACTAATGCTACGGCGTTACGTTGCAATCAGCGAACAAGGAGTGTTGCACATTGCGAATGCTACACCTCGAAACGTTACACCAAGTAACGTCACTCAGGATTCCAATTTTGTAATGTTCTTACACCAAAGAGTTTTTTAGATAGAATAATTATGAAATCTTGCAAGTTTTGAGTGTATAGATTTTACAAATGTCTACTTTAATATCTGTAAAAATATTCGATCCCAATAGCCTTATCAACATCACCCAGACATCGTCATTCAGAACTATTTTAAATACAAAATGTTTATATAACACTTGTTTCAATAAAATTGAGTTATTTAGTTTACTTAGAACGTATGTTATGATTGGCTATGTAAATTACTCATGAAATGTTTACATAATTCCATCATTTTAAATTAAAACATGTAAAAAGTCCTTCCTTCGTGATTTTCTCCAGCGAAAACTCCTTTATTTTTTATGTCAATTTTTAGAGATTTTTTTTGTCACTAGTATACTACTAATACTAATGGTAATATAGTTCAATGTTTTTGTAAGAATGTTTTAAGATTGGGAACCTATAGTTAACCTATTTCAAAAGAAAAGAGGATCTTATTTACACCTTACACATAAAATTAAAAGCACCATCTTTTTATTACTCAGAAAAAGTTGTATCAACTCTTAAAGAAGAAAAGATATTAAAGCTCCTTTAACTTTATTAAGAAACTAGCTTTCGCCCGCGACTCCGTCTGTAAGGATTTAAAAAACAAAAGTGAGTAGCGTATGTGTTCTTCCAGACTATCCTCTACGTCTATGCCAAATCTCATCGAGATCCGTTCAGTCGTTTAGGCTACAAACTGTAACAAACATCCATCCAACCATCAATCTAAACTTTCGCATTTATAATATTAGTAAGATAAGTAAGAAGTAAGGTATTTGTATTGCGAGGATTTTTTAACGCATCGAAAATATTTTCAATCCAATTTGACATCTGATTTTATTTATCTGTTAGATAAGAAAGAATACAATATCTTCAATTGCTTATGTAAGATTTAAGATCGTTACTATGCATATGTCATCTCATATCAGGAACGTAATACGCCGGCGTTATAGGGAGCATTTGGGCCGCCCAGGGCGCTGATCACAGTCCCTACAGGCCTAAACATTAGTTTCTCATACGCACGTTAAAAAAGACGTAGTAAATCTCGCCCAGGGCGCTAGTAGCATTAGAATCGGTGCTAATCGTTACATTAACAAATGAAATACAAGAAAAACTTGAAAAAAAAATTGCCGTCCTTGTTATTTTGTTTAACAAAACAGAGATAGCATATGTCTTTGAAATGTATTCCTGCAAATGAAACTATTTCCGAAACATACTTAATTTCATGATTTCACTTTTATATAGACTTTGGATTTTACACTTTACTATTTAAAAGCAAACATTAACCTATAGTATATTATAAAGAGGTAAGATTTGTTTTTTTTTTTAGATTTTTGTATGTATTAAAATAACTTAAAAACTACTGGACCGATTTCAAAACTTCTACCATTAAAATCTTTGTTAGTACTGAGTAACATGGACATTTTTTTTTCTTTTTTAATTTCACGGGGACGAAGTCGCGAGCAACAGCTAGTAAATAATATATTTGATCTGTATGTAGGTTATAATTTACATTCAAAGTGAGAGGTTTTAACTAATGTGAGTTTACAAGGACGACAGAAATAAAGTAACTACCTTAAATATGCGTATGGCTTGTACTTGCAAAGATAAATTACATTACAAAATTCTTGACATTCTTTTTATTCGAAGGCTACGCTATCTAAGGCATTAAATAAAACCAAACTATTCAATACAAACCTATCTATACTATTATAATAAAGCGTAAACACACACTTTTTTGTTGCCTAAGATGTCAGCAATCACAGCCTGTTTTTGAATAGTTCTTTTTTTATTAAAAAGCCCTACACTTACGTCACGCTTTAGACTATATATTTTCAAGACATTAAACTTAGGGGGTAAATATTTTGGATAAAAACCCTAATGTGGGAAAGAGACCATAAGTTACTGCCAACATCAAGAAAGCAAAATTGCTAAGGTTTGTCATGCCATTTTGACATTTGCTATTGATAATTTGACAAATAAAATTTTCATAATTTCATGCGGATGAAGCCGCACGGGAACAGCTAGTCTTCTATACATATGTAAACTAAAATTGGAGTGTCTGTAATATCCAAAGAAAAATCCCAGATTTCGGGAAGATGATGTATTTGCGTTGGTGATAACGAAAATCGCGTTTATTTTATTTGTTTCCGTCTGTCCGTCTGTCTGTCCGCAAGCCGCGTTTGTTCCGGGTAATCTCCGAAACGGCTGGGCCGATACGACTATCACTGAAGGGTAGCTGACATAGACGGGCATATTATTTTAGTAATGCAACTAAACAGTCGAATTTGCTACGAATCAATCGACGATCGCACAACAGTTGTGCGATATATTCAAAGGTGTGCGCCCGTTCTATTGATACGGATTAACTTGTACTTATGATATTGATTATAACATCATTGGCGTGATTTAACATCATATAGCCACGTGCATGTCGCGAACACCATGCTGGTTACACACGTTAGGTTTAGCATATTTTAACCTTCCAAGCATAACCGAGCGTAGTGCAAGTAATTGTATAATTTTGTCATACACATGCTAGAAATCGTAATAAAAAGTCCAACGTGTATAACCTGCATTATCGAACTGCATTTATTCAAGTTCATTAGTGACTGCAATCTTGTCTTTGCTCACATTTAAATCATTGGTAGCATACAATGTTTAGGAATCATGCTTAATGAATATTACTGAGATAATTACATAACTTATAAAAACCAATAAACCAAAATAATATTTGGTACATAAGTAAAAGGATAAATATCACACTTCTGTACTATATCAATATATGGACATAACGTATATTCTTTAAAATCTTTGCTTAAAATATTACGAGCATGTACCACCATTTTTTTTTTATAATATTAGGTGGCAAACGAGCAAGCGGCCACCTGAATCCACCGAAATGGAAAGCGACCGCAGCCCATAGATATCCGCAATTGCAGATGCGTTGCTTCTCCTTAATTGACGGAGGAGACGCACATAAAGAGGACATTTCCCCTTCCTATGCATCTCCTTTACCGTCAAATTCACTTTTCCTTCCCATCCTTTCCTCTTAAGAGAAGGGTGGAAAGGGAAAGGGGAAGGGATTAAAATTAGGCCTCCGTCTGATAACAATCCAACGTATAAAATATGTGACGGAAATATTGGATTTTGTTCCTTTATCTGACAGTGACGTCATTTTTAAACTATCTGAGAGATCAGCCAGTGGTGGGACAGGCCCTAAAAGTAGAGGAATCAACATTTAACCGCATAATATGATTCGTGAACCATGACTACCTTTTTGTCTAGCAATGTCCGGTTCTCGGACAAACTAACAAAAACATAGAAAAACTTTGTTCTAATGCCATGGCCATATGTTTGAATGATTTTGACCTTCGCAACATCGGTAATGTAATTACATCAATCTATGTTGCAGTACATAATTCTAAGTTTTAGTTATAGTGAGAGTTGGCGCCTATGTCACCTCCCATATGATCGATAACGGACATCCCTAGCTACAGCGTCATATGGACATCCCTATTGGACAAAACCATTCACTTCCTCTCTTGCACTTCGTCTGTCACTGCGCGGCCATGCATCAAATCTCGGCCTAATCAATTTATTCGTGATCCAATCAATATGTAATTCATAGCAATTAAACCACCACACGCTCCCAATGAAACTCCGGCACTTAACCAGAGTTTCCTTATGTTCACATAATACGAGGCATAAACAGTGAGAATTGATGATACGTGGGGCAAAACTGCTTTTGATCCTGAAAACATCAAACTAAATGCTAGGGTACTATGATATATACTCGTATTTCACAGCTACTCAACCAATAAGTCTTATTCGCAGTAGTTTTATATCTATTTTACCTTTTAGGCGTCTCTAGAAGGAGCAACTCACCTTCCCCCATCGCAACGCATTTGTCTGGACAGCTTAGAGTTGCAATATAAACACAAGGATTACCAAATAGTCCTAAGTCATTTATGACCCTACCGAAAGGCATGAGTATGGCACATTTCAAATTAGGGGCTAAGGCCCTCGTCAACCACGCTGTCCCACTGGTTCGACTTCACACAAATCTTCCAATTTCACAGATAGGTATGTAGAGGTGGTATCATCTTGAGAATAACATTGTTACTTCTTCTTGTCCTATGTCCCCAAAGTGTGGCAGATGGAGTCCACAGTGCGCCGCCCGTTCGCTCTATCCGGGACTCTGCGTTTTATCTCAGGCCTGACAGCCTGTTTACCTTCATGTCGTTACAGATTATAAAAAAGTTTCTTTTGTTATTAAATCCAATATCCTGACGTATTAATTAACATGCTCGCCATTTATTTGCATCTACATTCAGATCGTGACGAATAAAAAATGTAAGCGAAAATATATTTAGCAACGTATATAATTTTTTGTACAAAGTATAAATAGTGTAACGTCAACAAAAAGTTATTGAGGTCACTTTATATCAAACCTAACAAATGAAATTAATTTAAAAACTGTCATTTTTGAAGAAACGATGAGTGAAGTCTCTAAGCCAGTTCTTTACTTGTTTATCCGTCTTCCCAAAAGAAAGAGGGTTA